CCCCGCCCGTTCCCAGGAGCCCCAGCCCCCCTTCTCTCAGGATGGGGGACAACACGAGCCCCATCAGCGTGATTCTGGTGAGCTCGGGGAGCAGGGGCAATAAGCTGCTGTTCAGGTACCCCTTCCAGAGAAGCCAGGAGCACCCCGCGTCCCAGACAAGTAAGTGGGCGCTGGGCCCGCGCCCGGCGGCCACCGAGCAGCACGGCTGCCCCTTGGCGGCCCCTCTGCCGGGGTCTGGCCGGGTCTCTTCCTGGTGGTGCATAGTCCCCTAATGTGGCAGTGGAGGCGATGCACTCAGCTCACTAACCCCCAAGCCACTGTCGCTCACACGGGACCAGCCTTGTAAGAGTTACACTCTTTAAAAGAAGAGTTGCATTCTCTTGATGTGTAAATATCCGCAATGTGTTTTGTTTTGTTTTTTTGGGGGGGGTCGGTCAAATTACAAGTACATGTGAAGTTTTCGTTGACCCCTGCCCCTGCCCCTGTCCCCCCACCCCCACCACCATAAGCACTTATTCTGGTAATGACTCCACTCCTAACCGACTACCCAGTGGCATCAGCCCTCTCCAGCTCACAGGCCCCTCCAGAGTGTTGCTGAGGCTGCAGATCTTTCCAGAAGCCCATAACCTCATCTTTCTCCGACGGAGCAGCTGGCGGTTTTGAACTATCGGATGCTCACCCCACAGATAAAGATCCTCTCACATATATGCATTTACAGCCTCCCTCTTTCCACTGAGCGGGCTGCCCGCAAGCCCCTGCCACTCTGTACAATTGGGGTCAACCTCATTCTCTCTGGCAGCACCCCACTGCGTCCCTCTCACGTGGTTAGCCATTTCTGACTCTTGGGATTTTTCACTATTGTGGATGTGTGATTTTTAATTTAAAAGTTGTTCTACGAATACCTTTAAACTTGAAAAAAATAGTACAGCGTTTAAAGGTAGAAGGGAGTTTAGATTATGCAAGGGCTGTTCTTTCCCACAGTTGCTGCCTAGTAGCCCTAGTCTATTTGTGGGGGCAGTCACAGTGACCATGTCCACGTAGATCTTTCCAGACCCTTCTAGGTAAATGCAAGCATGTACACGCCTTTTCTAAGCTAAGCTGCACACTGTTCTGCTCGTGGTAGGTTTGTTTTCCTTTTCAGGCTGGGTAGACAGTGTGTCTGGCAGCCCCCTTCTGCTTAATGACTGCAGCGAAGTCGTTAAGGGAATGAAATACTGGGAAGGGTTCATCTGGGTCTCTGTTGATGCCTGCTTAAGTTGTTCCCAATCCTTTCGTTAATACTAACAGTGGCCTGTCTTTGTGTATGCTCTTGTTACAGATTACCTATGAATCAGTTTCCAGGAGTGGAAATTTGGGGGTCTTAAAGAATAATGAGTATTTTTAATAGATTTTACTAGGTTTAATGGCATTATTGATCTTTGCTGATCTGTAGGTCAAAAAATTGTGTCTTACAGGTTGCCTTTTAATTGTTTTAGAATTGTCATGGCAATATACATTCAAATATTTGCCAACATACCTTCCACATTTGCAATTGATAATTAAATTGATTACATTTTTCATGTCATACCACCATCATCTCCAGAATATTCTACCATAGTTAGCATGTACTCCAAGCTCCCCAGATGAACATGCCACCTATTTTTCTTCTCCTCGTAACCATGAATAATCTTTGGTTTCTATACAATTTATTTAATACAAGTTTGCCCTTTTGCAACTGGCTTGATTCACTTAGGATGAGGTTTTCTTCTTCTTTTTTTTTTTTATTCTTTTCCTGGCCTCGGGTTTATTTATTTACAAGCTCCTGATGGAGCTTGGGGCTGGGGCTGGGGCTGGGACTGGTGGGGGGTGGTAATGGGGGAGGATGAGGTTTTCAAGGCTCTTCCATATGTTGGCAGGCATAACTTCTCTCTTTTTGGCTGCACAATATCACATTATATATTATATAGTTTTTGCTTCTGCCTTCACCTGCTAATGGGCATTTCAGTTGCTCCCACCTTTGATTATTGTGGAAAGTGTTGCGTTGAACCTTGGGGGACTAGTTTTATTAATGTTTTCACTTCTCGTAGTTTTAATGTGCACCGATTTCATTTGTGAATGAAAGTGAGCATCTGTTCAGAGTTGTGTTTGTCTGCACTCCCCTGGCTCTTCTTACTTAAGTGTCCATGTGCACACAGACTCACTTGCTTTAGGCCCTGCTCGCAGACCTGTTTATGTCTTTATTGGGGGCTGCTTTAAATGTATTAATTACTCGCAAAGAAAGGGAATCTTTATGTTGAAGCTTCCTTTTCAAGAACATGGTATGTCTTTTAAACTTCTGTTTCCTTCATGTGACGCTGGGATGGGTCTTAAATTCAACCCTAGTGTTTTAAATTTTTTTTTTTACCTTTATAAAAGGTTGATCTGTACAAAGATTATTGATACATCAGCACTTAAAATGCATTCTTTGGCTGATAACGTTCCCAATCTCGTTGCCATTTTACTGAGAGTATATGAGTTTGTATACATACTCGCATATAAAATCCTATTTTTTAAATTTGACATGATAGCTAAAGCACTTCCGTTGTTACCATAACCACTGGGAAACCACCCATTCGAGGGCTTCATGGTGCTGTCCTGCATGGATGTGCCCATCTCCTGGCCGTCTTCTCTGCCCTCACCCAGATAAGCCGAGGAGCAGGTATGCTGTTAACAGCACCGGGGACCACTCTGAGGACCAGGACGGAGACTCCAGGTAAGGGTTACCCTGAGGCTAGTGTGCCTCAGCCTGGTCAGGCTTCGGCAGTGAAATGGGCAACAGGGCCGAGATCTGGGGCTGGCATGAGCCTTGAAGCTCTTTGAAGTTCAGGTTCTCCTCCTTCCCAGGCTTGGAAGCCTGGTCCCTCTGGGGAGAGCTGTCAGGGTGGAAAACATCAGAAGTAAGCTCTGTGGCCTTATGCTGTCTTTCAAGCATAGTCAGTGGCAACACAGGCTCAGCTGAAGATAGAAGTTTCTGAGATGCCATCTTGGGCCCTCTCTGTGGGGTGAGGACTCAGCCTCTGGTGTCCTGGGGAGAAAGGACCGAAACCTCTGTGTCAGGCTTTTGCCTGCAACCTGTTCCCCTAGGGCCTTCTCCAGGCGCCTTGCGGGCAGCCTGGCTGCCACAGATGTGCATAGTTTCAAGAGTGACGTGGGCTCTGTTTGTGGGGATGTTTGTCTCCATCATGACCAGTAAGGAAGGGGAGCTAGTTTCAGAATAGATAGCTGCAGGAGTTGCCTGGGGCCGGTGGCGTGAGGGCTAGTCTGCTTGGCGTTGAGGCTGTGGCAACTGGGGACACAGTTATAGTGTCTTCGTCACAGGTGCCTAGCAAGTGCTTCACTTCTTGCCTGCTGTGGGTGTGTGCTCAGCCGGCACAGATCCACTTTGAGCACGGTTAACCCCTGCCCCGTTCTCCTTCCACATCCACAAGCTCCCCTGGGCACCTGAGGCCTGGAGATCAGACACCCTGCTTGACCGAGGCCAAGGACAGGGCCTTCTGCGAGGGGCAGCAGGACTTCGCCCTGAAGAGCATGCTCTTCAGGAGCTTGTACTGAAATCACTCAAGGACAGGAGGATCTGCAGGGAATGCAGAGGCCTGAGAACATGTGGGTTCCTCGGTGGGACCCAGAGGCAGCAGGGCTTCCCCAGAGGAGCAGATTCTCCTTGGACTCCCTTACTAAATGCCAGCATTACTTCATTTGATACTTATAGCCCATTGTCACCTGTGAGCATCCCCTCCCCCCACCCCCACGCGTACTTTACTGTTAGGCCGGGTTCCATTGCCCTCCCACCAAGCTTTGTCACCAAGGAGGCCTGGGGGACCCCTTGCTGCCCTTGACCCTGGTGAGAGCACTCTCCAGGCCCCGCCACAGCCCCTTGTCTTCCTGGTTGCTGCTCTATAGCTGGTTCTCTCTCGGGAGCCTCAGGGAACCCCTCCCCCCAGTCCCTTTGCCAGAGTGGAGTAGCCAGGGCCCCAGTCCTTTTGAGGGTGGAGTGGCCTGCCTGAGGCCACTAAACTGAAGTGGACTCCCATGAAGTAGAAACCAGCCACACCTCAGGGGCTCAACAACCACTTGAAGCCTGGTGGGAAGTTGCCACCTTGGGAGCTTTCCATCTCTTTGGGCGGCTCTAGCCTAGAGAGTGGTTCGTTTGTGCATCTCAGGGCCTCAGAACGAGCTGTCCTTGTCTAGAATCCAGTCAGGAGGGAAGGGATTGGCCTTGGCGTCCGTGTTCAGAGGAGTGGTGGTGTTCCGCCCCTTGGGTATTAGAGGCCAGGATGTTCTGTGGTTGTGTTATGGGCCTCCACCCTTGAAAGCCGGGGAGAAGCCATCAACAGAGGCCCCAGGGGGGAGCGTGGGTCCCTCAGAAGGGCTGGCACGGGCCCGACCTGTCCCGTGGTGCCGTCTCACTTCCTCCCCCAGGCAGCACTCGGCTAAGCCAGCTCTGAGAATTCATTGTTGACTCTGGTACCACGGCTCAGGATTTGTTCTACTTTGGACAGGGTAGAAGGCTTTTGAAGGCCTTCCTGCCCCATCCTGCAGTCAGACACTTCATCAGAGCCATGGGCCCTGGCCGCTGGGCTCCTGGGCTATCTCCAGGCTTCAGGGCAGCTCTGCCTCAGCTGTGGGTTTCCAGCAGTGCTTTCTTGAGGGGTGGGGGGTGGGGCCCACCCTGGAACAATCCAGGGGGATTGCAAATGCAGATAGCCACATTTAACCCTGGATTATGGGATATAGTACAGAAGTTTTCATTGCCAGAGGTGTGCAAAAAAATTTTTTTAAGGAGACAATAAGCCAAATAGGCGTATTTTCTCGGGAGTTTAGAGAGGTGCCGCCTCCCACCTGGGCACGGGGTCAGTACACAGAGCTCAGACACACAGCATCAGGCCCGGGCCCGGGCATCGTCCACCCTGGCTCAGCCCTCAGCAACTGAACCCATGTCTGTCAGGTCCCCGAGGGCAGCGGGCAGTGACCAGGCAGCAAAGGGTGCGTCCCATCTGGCCTGCTTTGGGTATTTTCCCTGCCCTGCAAGGCATGACCCCTCGGTAGGGCAGTAGTGTGTTCAGGCCTGTGGTTGTGGGCGCTCCTGTTGTGTCTCGCTCTGAGAGCTAGACATACTCACACCCTGCTCAGAGAGCTCTTGCACAGGGGACAAAGCTGGGTCAGGCCCGGACGCTCTCCGGGAAGTACTGTGTAGCCTGGTGGCCGAGGCCTGCATGCAGCTCCCATCCTCTGATGTCAGCCACATTGTCTACTGCTGCCCTCCATGGGGCTGGGATCCTGTGTCCCACTGCTCGCCAGGGGGCAGGCCAGAGGTGGCCTTGGGGCTGCAGCCCTGTTCAAAGGTGTGTGCGCCTCCTGGGCCCCCTGGAAATGGGGTGTGTGCAGGTGTCTGGCTAGGCAGTGTGGAGCTGGGTTCTGCTGCACCTGGCCTTCCAGCCACACCTGGTCTGCCAGCCCGTCGGTCCTTGTGAGAGTGTGAGCTTTCCTGAGGGAACCACGGGGAAGTTGCCCGTCCCAGCGCTCAGCAGGATGGTGGTGCAGCGCCTGCCAGACCATCCACACTGTTTCGGTGGCTTCCCGTGGTTACAGCACTGTGTTTCTGTTTGGTCTTGGCGGCCGTGTTCCCATCCCAGAGAGCTCTGCCCACCAGCCGATGAGCACGCGGTTGCAGGGTAAGACCGACACTCCCCCGGCCTCCTGCCGCCTTCTCTTGTCATCATTGTGCCAACGTCCCTTCCCCCAATGTCAAAGAATGAACAAATGACTCACACAGCCCTGGCTCGAAGCTCACTGCCGCCCCTCCCTGTCCCCCATCCTCACTGGTTAAGGAGTCTTGCTCCCTCACTTCCCTTCCCTTGCGAGGCAGAATCGGGGGTGGGTGGGGGTACGGGGAACCAGCAGCAGCTACCCTCCCCACTCTGCTCTGCTTCTGAGAAGGGGCCCACTCCCCAGGGGGGTGGTAAGGGGTGATCCTTAGGCAGGCCTTCTCCATGGGGTGTGCCGAACTTGTGCGAGCTGAGACCCTCCCCACTAGCCCCATGTCCCTGACCTGATTGAGTCCCCCTGGAGGTGACTCAGATGGACCATGTAGGGCCTGAGCCTGAGAGCCAAGCCAGAAGGCGGGGTGGAGGGTCCTCAGGCTGCCTCACCAGGGAGATGGACCCTGGATAGCCCCCGCAGCTGGCCAGGAATCTTGGCTTCTCCAGAGGAGAATCCTCGCAATGGGCTCAGCAGGCCACACCCTTGCTGGCAGTGCAGAGGAAAAGGATTTTTCTTTCTTTCTTTTTTTTAGGCAAAGGACTTTTATAATTCTGGAACCCTGCAGAACACTGCTGTCACTTGGGGTTGGACTTGCTTTCTCCAGCCACGTGCACATCATCTCATGACGTGCTGTGTTTTTGTGGGTCATGGCACCAGAGCCAAGCATTTGTTATCAGATGACTTCATTAAGGACTATGAAGCTGCAGGGAGTGGATTTTGGAGGACAGGGGTGCAGACAGACTTGCCAAGCCCATGACAGTCTTGATCACTGCTTGCTGGCCACCCAGAGTCCCTGAGACAGCCTCATTCCCCCAGCTCTCAGCCAACTGCTTGCAGACTTGAGGCCACGCGCCCCTGGTCCTGCCCTTTCCTGGCCCAGGGAGAGCCTCTGAGGTTGGGGTCTTTATAGTTGTGACCAGGGCCATCTCTGCCCACCTCCGAGTAGCCCAGGGCCCTGTCCCATGCTGAGCTACCTCAGGGCCCTGTTTGCGAGCTGTGCTGACAGCCAGGGTTACTGGGGATTTCTGGCTGTCACAGGTCAAGTGAGCTTTCTGAGTGGGCAGTCACCTGTCTCTAACCTCCATGTCCCGAGTCACTGCGAAGTGGGACAGGCAGTTTGGATGGCATGTGGAATGTTAGCACTGGGCCAGTCTGTAGGGCTGCTGTGTGTGTGTGTGTGTGTGTGTGTGTGTGTGTGTGTGTGTGTGTGTGTTGGTGGTGATGGTGACTCCCCACAGTCCCTCTCAACATGACCTCGTGCAGACAGGAGTTCCAGGGTAGAGAGCGCCACCTTGAGGGCATGCCTCCAGCGCCACCTGTGCCTCAGGCCTGGTAGCCGAGAGCAGGGGGATGGGCAGCCAGGACCGACCGACTGGGCGCCCTGGGCCTGCTCACACCAACATCATGGAGACCCGGCTGCAGTCCTGGGCATGCCTTCTGTACACAGCAAAGCCACCTTGGAACTAGAGGGCCCGAGGAACCCTGGCTGAGGCCTGGGAACCAGCACAGTCTCCGGGCCCTGGCAGTGCTAGGACCCCCTGGGCCCAGGTGGCCCCGTTCCTCCCAGCAGCCTTGAGGGGGGCCCATCCCAGACCTTCATATCCATTATCTTTGCTGCCACAGTTTGAGGTGCAGTACAGAACCCCCTCCCCTCACAAGGCAAGCCTTGTGATGTTGGCAACCCGCCCACGGTGGGGGCCAGCAGGGGTGGGGGGCAGGCCTGGAACCCCTGTCTGCCAGGACCTGGTTTAGGTCTAGGTGGGAGGTGAGTGAGGTCAGGGCACACCTTTAGCCTCTCCTCTGGAGTGGAGGGGAGGTTGGCAGAGCTGATGGCCACATGATGCTCTCCCTCTCTGAAGTGCTCCCTGGACCCATTCTGCACCTTACAACTTGCATTCTGATGCAGATGGGCCAGTCTTGGGTTCGGCTCAAGAGAGGAAGGGACTCGGAGGCTGTGTGAAGCAACCCTTAGCACTTGGGGCAGCAGTGGTAAGGGCTGTCCCCCTGGTGACAGGCCTGGTCACACAGGAGAGCCACTTCTCCCTGCCCCTAGCCAGTTTGGAGGGCAGTACCAGCTCCCGCCGCTGCCCC